TGGTACTAGGCGAGACAAACTCTACTACTTGGACTGGGAATCAAATAGTGAGACTAGGTTTGGTCAAGCTTTCACAACAAGTGGAGCTAGTTCAGAGAGGCAGATAGACAAATTTGGTTACGGAATAAACATCTTGGGCATGCCTCGTTCGGTTATCTGAAGAAGTTGTTCCATCATTATTTTCCAGTTTTGAGGTTTCCAACTTCCAATGTGATACATGTGAATTGGCTAAGAGTCATCGTGTTCCGTTCCCATTAAGTACAAATAAAAGTTTGGTTCTTTTCTCCTTTATTTATTCTGATGTTTAGGGGCCTACTCAAATCACTACTCCAGTTGGAGCTCGATGGTTTGTCACTGTCATTGATGACTACACCCGAATGACCTGAGTTTCCCTTCTCAAAACCAAAGGGGAAGTCGGTTTGACATTTCAACAGTTTCATAAATGGTGGCGACTCAGTTTCATGCCCAAATACAGGTTCTCTATTCTGACAATGGCTGATAATTTTTTAATCATGATCTCAAAAAATTCTTATAGGATCATGACATCATACATCAATGCTCATGTTCATATACTCCTTAACAAAATGAGGTGGCTGAGTGAAAGAACTGACATTTATTAGAATTCATTCATGCATCTTTATTTGGTGCCAACATGCCTCGATCTTTTTGGGGCTAGGCCGTTCTCTCTACAGCTTACCTTATAAATAGGATTCCCTCAAGTACCTTGAATTTTCAAACTCTTCTTCAAACACTTCACCACTATATCTAAATACCTCCCACCCCAAACCTTGAACCATGAATTTTTGATTGTGTTGTATTTGTACACTTACATGATCACCAACGCAACAAATTGGATCCCTGAGCAGAAAAATGTGTTTTCATTAGCTATTCCCCTCATCAGAAAGGCTACCGATGTTATCACCCTCCATAGATGTAGTATTCCGGGAACACGACATATTTTTCAGAAGCACATGAGGAGAATCTAGAGCCAAACACCCTGACTTTTCTGGAATTTTTAACAACATAAGAGATTCAGGATCAAAGCGACTAGTCGCCTCCCTTTATCCATCCACATGAGGCGTCTCTACCTTAGAGCGGTCGGTCGCCTCTCCCCCACGACCAGTCACTCCCCTTTATTCCTTCACAGGTGGAACCACTATGGTAAAACGACAAGTCGCTTTGTCCCTCTTTGTCGAACATTGAGCCTATGTCGCCAGTGGAAAACGACTAGTCGACACCTCGCTGCCAAAACCATGAGGAGGAAATTGAACTGTTTTTTGAGATTTTGCTCGCTCTGAACGTGCCTTCAGCTCTAGTACCACACTAATCACCTTCTGAGGAAGTCATTCAGGTAACATCTCCCCCTGAAACTAATAACACTAATTAAATATACCATGATGATTTGATTTCAAAAAGCATAAATGATATAGATACCCCTATATATCAGCTTCAAGAAGGGAAGAAATATGGTAAACCTCAAGTACAGTACGAAGCAGATCTTAATGCCAAGGAAAATACCCCATCAATAATTATATATCTCTAAGTAGATTAGGAGAGTCACATATACACTCTGTGAAATAGTTAGCCAATATATTTGTCCCAAATAGTGTGAATGAAGCACTAGAAAACTCAAAATGAAAAGAACCCATTAATGAAGAAATGAGAGCCCTCCAGAAGAATGCCACATTAGAGCTCGTGTATTTACCTCACAGAAAGAAGACATTGGGATGTAGGTGAATCTATACTGTAAAACTCAAAGCAAATGGATCCATTGAAAGATATAAAGCTAAATTGGTGGCAAAGGGTATACACAGATGTATGGGGTAGACTATCAGAAGACCTTTGCCCAAGTAGCCAAGATCAACACCATAAAAGTCCTACTGTCCCTAAAAGCAAATCTAGATTGACAACTACATCAGTTCAATGTTAAAAATGTCTTCTTACATGGATACTTGGAAGAAGAGGTATACATGGATTTACCACTAGGATGTAATTTAGCTTATAAAAAGAAGAATCAAGTTTGCAAGCTCAGAAAGTCATTATATGGGTTAAAACAATCTCTTAGGTCATGGTTTGAAAGATTTACTAAGTCCATGAAGAATTTTGGATACGCTCAAAGTAATTCAGACCACACCCTCTTCTTGAAGCGTAATGGAGGAAAAATCATTGCATTAATCGTCTATGTGGATGACATGGTCGTACCTGGGAACAACGCGGGAGAGCAACAGAAGCTACAAAAGTATTTGTCTCAGGAATTTGAGATGAAAGATTTAGGTGCTCTGAAATACTTCCTTGGAATTGAAGTAGCAAGGTCAAAAACTGGTATATTTCTGTCTTAAAGGAAGTATGTGATGGATCAACTCACTGAAATAGGAATGCTTGGATGTAAGCTTGCTGACACACCTATTGAGATGAATCACAAGTTGTATGAAGACATGGCCCGATTGCTAATCAATAAGGAACAATACAACACCTTGTTGGAAGGTTGATATATTTGGCGAACAAAACACCATATATTGCATATGTTGTGAGTGTGGTTAGTCAATTAATGCATTCACCCAGTGTTTCTCATAAGATTGCAGTTGATCAAATCTTAAGATACTTAAAATCAACCCCTAAAAAGGGATTAATGTTCTTAAATAATGGAAATCTTGAAGTTGTTGAATATACAGATAATGATTGGGCTGGTTCCATTACAAATATACACTTTACATCATGTTACTTTACATTTGTTGGAGGTAACCTAGTCATTTGGCGGAGTAAAAAACAAAATGTGGTTTCTCAATCTAGTGCAAAAGCAAAGTATCGAGGAATGGCTCAAGGAGTTTGTGAATTATTGTGGATCAGAGGACTCTTTATAGAATTGGGTTTTAAACCAGGGAAGCCGATAGAGTTACATTGTGATAATAAGCCAGTTATCGATATTGCTCATAATCCAGTTCAACATGATCGAACTAAACATGTTGAGGTGGATAGACATGTCATCAAAGAAAAAATTGAGAATAAGATCATCTGTCTACCCTTTATAAAATTAGAAGATCAATTAGTGGTGTCTTGACAAAAGCTATCTGTGGACGAGTGTTTTATGACTCACTTACCAAGTTGGGTATTGGTAACGTGTATGCACTAACTTAAGGAGGAGTGTTGACATGAGTTAACCTACTAAATCAAGGAGATTTATTTCCTAAGTTAATTAGGTGATTTACTTCCTTGTTTTATATAGTCGACACATCCTTGTATAATTATGAGATATTCTCCTAATTAATTACTGTATTTATTTACTTGTAAAACACCATAGTAACTCCTATATATAAATTCTGATGGAGAAGAATACAATTAACTTAAAGTATTCAAATCATATTCATATTTTAATAGAAACTAGAGACGCCTATAGAGTTTTCAATTTTTTTTTTTAACCGAATGTATACACTGATTGAAAACGTTGAGATGTAAACTAATGAAATTGAAACCAAGTGGCCCATTTTGATAATTCCACTAAACCTAGAGCAGGGTATAATGTCATTAGCCATTTCCTAATTATTTGCTAAAAGGTCATCCCAGTACTTAAATCATTAAGCTCTTAAGCTCTTAAATCATTAGCCACTTTTCTTTGTTCACCCCAGTACTTAAATCATTAAGCTCTTAAGTTTTATTATTGTGTAAAAAGACAAAAAAGGTCATCCAACTTAATATTTAACCCTTGTACATCTATACATACATCCCCACCACTCTTTATGTTAAGTTTCAGAAAAACACAAACATATGGGCACCTGTAACCACTAGAGGAACCTCTTGAGCTTGGTCTCTTCTAGTGAGCTTACCATTGTTGTGTGTGCCACTCTAAGACTTGATTGGTTTTTCACAGAGAGAGAGAGAGAGAGAGCAAAGGGGTTTTAGGAGGTAGCAGCTTGAAGTGTTTCTATGCTCTCAAAAAGAAAACACCAAAGCCATAGCCTAAACTTTTCTTTGCATACTGGATGTTAATATTGGCAATGGAAGAAAATGGGGCAATCGAGAAAGAGTAAAATTACACCCTTTTCACTTCGAACCATCCACAACTCTCATCATCCACTGCTTCTCCATCCCCAATTGATCAAATTCAAATTACATTCACCCAAAAAAAAAACAAAAGATTGAATATACAAAACAAATTTGGTTGATTTTATTTTATATAACAATTGGGGAAAGTGTTTTGAACCATAGCAAAACCCAGCACCCCTCCCATATCAATTCAACTGTCAACATTTCTCTATCAAAACCTCCTAGTTAATTCTCAAAATTTTAACAAAATAAATAATAATAATAATAATAAATAATGCTGCTACACATTTGACAACAATGTTTTTATCTCTTTAACTAATGTGAGGTTGAGAGGCAAGATAGTACGGTGTGGGGTTGATGAGTTTTTTTTTTTTTTTTTTTCTGCTGGGTGTGTATTTAGGGGTAGTTTATGAAGATAGTAGAGTTTTCTTAGAAATTATGAAAATTTGAATTAAAAATTGAGATAAACTTAGAACATGGGGTGAACAAAGAGAAGTGCGGGGTTTAAATAGAAAAACTAAAAAAAAAAAATAATTGAATGCAAAATTAGTGACAAAGAAAAAAGAAAACACAAACCAAAGTCATAAGTAAACCTAGCCCCTTGACACACGCATACACACGCGCCAATTGTTTTTTTTTATTTTATTTTTAGAATTAAAAAAGATAATGAGTAGTTGTGTTTTATAAAAGTAAGACATATTATCTGATTTTGTTTTAAATTTTAATTTTTTTAATATATAAAAAATATGTAAATTTATTATATTATTATTATTATTTAATTAATAATTTTAATTTTTAATGTTTGAATTAACTAAGAGTATTTTTTATTTTTAATGTTCCACCGGTCTTTAATTTTTATGGATATGGAAGAATTGAACTCGTTTTTGAATCTGAAGGCAGACATAATCCCCATTAAACCCTTTGTTAATCTCCCGAGCACTACCCAAAAATCAAAACCATACTTCTATCATTGTTAAACTTCTCAAGACACCCCACTTCTCTCGCTCTCTCTCTTCCTCTCTCTTCTCCCAAGCCCAGCCCGCCACGACCTCTCCACTCCCTTGCCCCTTGTTCTAGACTTGCCTTAGGTTTTGTTAGGGTTTCGGTAATCTAATTTTGCCTTGAGGCTTGTTTTTCGTGATGGATGATTATCAAGAGATGGAAAGGTTTGGCATGGAGAAGGATTACGAGGACGGCCAATGGATCGGCGGCGAGTTCTATTATCGCAAGCGCAAGGATAAGCGCGTCCAGACCAAAGACGATGTACTCTACGGCATATTCTCTGCCGATTCCGACGACGACGATGAAGACAACGAGGGCTCCAGAAAACGCAGGAAAGATCGAAAGGTCGTCGACCTTACCAAGCCCGTCAATTTCGTCTCCACCGGCATCGTCATGCCCAACCAGGAGATGGACAACAATTCAAAGCAGCAAAACGATGACCTCGGCGCTACCGGCGTTGCCACCAGTGGCCTTGGCTTTGGTGCCGCTACGGCTTCAGGTTTGGGTTTTAATAATTTGAATTCCGGTTTAGGTTTTAATTCGAATTCGGATCCCACCGGTGGAGAGGAGGAGGATGAGGAAAATGACAGCAATTTTCTGCCGACGGCGTTTGGGAAGAAAATAAAGGAGGGAGCAGAGAGGAGACAGAAGGAGAGGGAAAAGCTCAAATTGCTGAAGCAAACTACTATCCAATCTCGAAGTCGAAGAGATTCTGAAGAATCTCAGTTTGGACTAGGAGGAGCAAGGGGGGGCGGCGGGGATGGTGACCTGGGGGCCTTTGAGAAACACACCAAGGGCATTGGGATGAAGATGCTTAAGAACATGGGCTACAAAGGAGGTGGACTTGGCAAAAACCAGCAAGGGATTCTCGCTCCTATTGAAGCCAAGTTGAGGCCAAAAAATATGGGTATGGGTTTTAATGATTACGAGGAGACTAAAATCAAGAGGCCTGGCTTGCAAGAATTGGAAGCTGAAAAGCTGAGCAAGCCTTTGCCCGCTGTCAATTCCTCTACCACCACCAAAAAGAGCATTTCCTGGAAAAAGGCTGTTGCCAACAGGGCTAATAAGGACCGCTATGTCTCTGCCAAGGAGTTGTTAGCCAAGAAGCAGGAAGAGAGTACCGAGGTCTTTGTGCACAAGGTGGTTGATATGCGCGGACCCCAGGTTCGAGTCTTGACCAATTTGGAGAATCTGAATGCCGAAGAGAAAGCCAGGGAAGAGGATATTCCCATGCCTGAGCTACAGCACAACCTGAGGTTGATTCTGGACTTAGCTGAGCTGGATATTCAGAAGATTGATAGGGATCTGAGGAATGAGAGGGACACGGCAATCAGCTTGAACCAGGAGAAAGAGAGGCTGGCAACAGAGGCGGCCAGACAGAAGCAACACTTGGATAGCTTGGGGGATATTATGAGCGTGTTAGACCGACTGGGAGAAGAGAATATCATGGGAACATTGACGCTGGACTCCCTGGCAAAGGACTTTGGTGACCTACAGAAGAGATACGCTGAAGACTATGAAATATGTAACTTGTCTTGTATTGCCTGTTCTTTTGCTCTACCTCTGTTTGTCAGGATGTTTCAAGGTTGGGATCCTCTTAGGAACCCGTCCCATGGGTTGAATGTGGTATCCTCATGGAAGGGTTTGCTTCATGGAGAGGGGGTGAGAGAACAGTACCTTGATATTTGGGATAATACAATGCCGCCTTATACTCAGTTGGTTTCCGAGGTTGTGGTACCTGCAGTAAGGATTGCTGGCATCAATACCTGGCAGGCCAAGGACCCTGAACCCATGCTTCGCTTTTTGGAGTCTTGGGAGAAATTGCTACCCTCTTCTGTCCTTCATGCCATATTGGATATGGTAGTCTTTCCCAAACTGAAGGACGCAGTTGACTTGTGGGAACCTCACCGGGACACTGTTCCCATCCATGTGTGGGTGCATCCATGGCTACCACTCTTGGGACACAAGTTGGAGGAGTTGTATCACACAATACGCTTCAAGTTGAGTAACGTTCTCGGTGCATGGCACCCCAATGATGCCTCTGCCTATACCATACTCTCGCCGTGGAAGAAGGTGTTTGATTCAGCCAGTTGGGAACAACTCATGCATAGATTCATAGTGCCCAAGTTGCAGCTTGTCCTACAAGACTTCCAAGTGAACCCTGCAGATCAAAGACTTGATCAGTTTAATTGGGTGATGAGTTGGGCTTCTGCTATTCCAATTCATCTAATGGTAGATATGATGGAGAAGTTTTTCTTCACCAAGTGGCTACAGGTTTTGTATCACTGGTTATGTTCGAACCCGAACTTTGAAGAGGTTTTGAATTGGTATAAAGGTTGGAAGGAACTCATTCCTGAGGAGCTTCATGCAAATGAAAGTATTCGATATCAGCTTAATTGTGGTCTTGACATGATGAATCGGGCTGTTGAGGGTATGGAGGTGGTCCAACCTGGTTTGAAAGAGAATATTAGCTACCTTAGGGTGCTTGAGCAAAGGCAATTTGAGGCACAACAGAAAGCAGCAGCAGCACAAGCAAACTTGGGTGGCACTGCTCACATGGATGGCAGTGGTAATGAGATGAGCTTGAAAGATGTTATTGAAGCCCATGCGCAGCAGCATGGTCTGTTATTTAGGCCTAAACCTGGGCGGATGCATAATGGTCACCAGATATATGGCTTTGGTAATGTAAGCATAATAGTTGACTCTCTAAATCAAAAGGTATATGCCCAAACAGAGGAAAGCTGGTCTCTTGTATCCCTTGAAAGGTTGCTTGACATGCACAATAGTTCTCTTTCAAGAAGACGCTGAGTTTTAGAAAGGCCTTTGAAGAGTTGAAGGGATGTGTGGTGACTCTGTGCTGGGAATGGAGCTGGTGGATTAGGTTGTGTGTGTAGTTGCCGTTGGTCATGGACTGAGAACTGAAAATATTAGCTTGGTCACGTATGTGCAGTTGGCTCTTTAGACTGAAAAGAACTGAAATGATTTCCTTAAGAAACAAAGGATGAAAAGAAGAAGAATAAGGTGAGGTGTGTTTTGTTGTCTTTGTTGACTACATTCCATAGACTATAAGAAATTGTGGTGTTAGTGAGTGTGTTTTGTAATGAAAATATCTTTTTTCTTGACATGTCTTTGCGAAAGAGCTTTGCATCATATGCGATCCGTTTAACAAATCATCTTTTTAAGTTTTTGTTTTCTTTCTAATTTTTATTTTATTTCTTTCTCCCACTCTTCCAGTAGTAGTTATGTGGCTTGAGAAATACAATAGGAACAAGACTGTTGAACAATTTTAGGTGGGTATGGGGTTTGATACTCTGCTTTTAAGTTTTTTTACTCAATGTTTATGCATTTTGTAATTTCCATTTACTTCCGATGTGGAGCTTCAGCGCAAAAAATAGCAGTGCAAACCAAACTGCTGGATCTTATATTTATAACTAACTGAGTAGTCTGATATCTTATGTTCTATGTCATTTAGTTTTGCTGTCTCTGTTAAGTTCGCATAGGTGCCTTTTATAGTTTCCTAAGTTTATTTTATACTTACCAATTGAAATCCATCAAAGTAAATCGGTGTGCAATGGAGAAAGCAGTCCAGGATTGAATATGACTTTAGGGTTTAGAGGTTTCTGGAATATACGATCACAACAAACTTGCATGTTGCCTCGTTAGACGTCATAAGAAATGATTTAATAACCTTTTTCTTCTGTAACTTTAGTTGATTGATGAAGTGGTTTTCATTTTCCAGATTCTCCATAAACTTTTATCCCTTATATTTATTTCTTTGGTGGGAAAATGACATATTAGAACTCTGTTGCTCTGATATTCATCATGGTCATCCTGAATGGCAAGTTTGTCTTCTTGAAATTTCAAATTTTAAATTAATGAAAGAAAAAAAATTACACTCAGCTGGTAATTTATATGCTTGATTAAATCACCTTGGTACTAACTAACTTCATATAAGGAAGTGTAATCCAAAGAATTCACGATGTTGCAGAGTTGATGAAGTGAATCTTGTGCTGATGCGTGGATTGAGAAAGAGGTGAGGAGTTACTTGAAGCTGAAACCAACTTTAGAATTGTGCAGTCACTTGAAAAGTGAAATAAAACTTGTTTGTTTTCCTGATTTGGGTCTGCGGTTCTTGTTTCATTGGTAACACAAAATCCCATGCTTTATTTATTTATTTGAAATAGGACATCCTATATTTTATTGAGCTCGAGGTAAAAATTGTGATGTAGGATGGTGAGATGTAGTAGGCTACTAGGCCCTAATACCAAATCTAACATAGATCACTGCATATAATAAGAGTTACTTGGAAAGCTATGTCTTTTAGTGCAAGCTGTTTATGGCAGCAAGGCTTTTGGGGTAGAAGATTTAGAGTGAAGGATTTATGGTGAAGATAAAGGGGAAAGGGTCAGGAGTTGAAGGGAAAAAGAGGAAACCAAGTCAGGGATGCTGTTTTGTGGCTATGAGCAGTACCCCCAAGAACAGTAACTTGCTTGTTCCAGAAGCAACAATGTCTGATTAAGAAAAAAGTTTAGGGTTTGGTGGATATAAAAATTTTGGAAAATTGGGGTTTCTAAGTATGTTAAACACGTCGATTACAGGATGGCTGCAGGAGTCCAGATTTGTTCTTAATACAATTCTTGGTGGTAAAAATCCACGTCGAATGCAAAAGAAAAGAATGTTCTATATTCCATAATTTTCTTTTGTTTGGTTCATAGATGAGAGTGGAAAAGAAAACAAAATGAAGGAAAACAACACAAAATTTTCCTTTCAGTTATTAGACATTTAGCTTAATGGCTGATTATTAGGCTTTAGCCTAAGGCTGTTTTCTTAAATTTAGGTCTTGTTGTAGAGTTGATTAACAGAGCAATTTATGTCCTGGATTTCTGTATAAATTATGTGTACTCCTTTCATTTGGATATGCAATACGATGTTCTTCTTATCCCTTTCTCAAGTTCCTTTTCAACATGGTATTCAAGCAAATTTGCTCCAGAGACCTAAACCCACTGCTACCATTACCTTGTTTTCTCTCTCTTTTTTTTGTTTTTGATTTTTTGTTTTGTTTTTGAGGTTACTGGAAATCTGTAAATTTATATCCACACATGGAAATGGGATGTCCATGTATGGCTATTAAGAGTTCTTCTTCATTGCAATGAAGGTTACATTTCAGACAGGATTGTTATAGAAAAGGTTAGAGATTGTTCTCTATGAAATGTTGTAACTAGAACCAGTGACGTGTAAGGAGTACATGATGGGGTCATACTAGTTCCTTTTGGTCACAAAAATCACTTCTCTTAATGAATAATAAAATAAACTCTGTTTGTTTTTGTCCAAGTATAAGCTTATCATTCTCTAGAACTTTTTTCTTGGAGTCAGTCCATAGCACAAATACATTATATATATTGGAGGACTTGCTGGAAAAAATATAAGGGTATGGGTTTTACGTATGGCGTAAAAAAGTTTAGGGAGAAGGCTTTTTTGTTTTTGCACAAAAGGGTTCATTCTGTGTATGGCATCAGTCACCTAAACCTCCTCACCAGGCAGGTGAGAAGCTGTAAATTACTTGTTCTGTTGGTGGGGCCCTAATGTCTCTTTTAATCTAAGAGTCTCATATTTCTTAAACATCACTTGGTGACTGGTGCACAAAGAGTTGCATCATGTATGCAGCACAGAAGTTTGAAATAATTTGATCTCCTGAACCTCAGTTCTAGTACACAACTGCATTTGTGCACCGTTCTAGGCCTGAAACTGGTTAGCTTTGCAATACAATTTTCTATTTTCCTTTGATATTTGTTTCTCTGATCTGTTTTATGTGTAATTTATTTTTCTTGATCTGTAACTTGTGATTTTTCTATGTATAACAGGTTGTAGCCTTAAGGGAGGATAGATGCCCTAAAGTTCAGGTTGTGACTTCTGATCATATTCAGCAGCATTGCAGCACATGGAGCAGTATGTGTTCTCATAATTCCTATGTAAATGAGATTTTTCTGCTGAATCTTTTAAATAAATTTGGACTGTTATCTTTGTTAAACTGTTTAAATAATCAAGGAGTTCCAATTTTGATGAATAAAGTCCAAGCGTATAATATATTTGTATTTCCTGTAGTACATGTCCCATTTCTGGCTGCCACAAATTTTGTTGTTTCTGCAGCATACTTTTTGCAGCCATAACCTTGAGTTTAAGTTGGGTTAAGTTGTGCTTTACTAATTCCTTTTTATTTTTGCATGTTTTATACTACTAGTAATATTGTTCGACGATTCACTGGAGCGCTCTTGCAAATATTAGTATTTAAATTCCCCAAACTTGCAAAATTTAAAGCTCTGTGAGCTAGTGGCATTGGTCTTCTTGTGAATACAAAGGTTGTGTGCGTCTTGGCTTCAAAGCCAAGCAAGATTGTGGAGGCCCCCCATCCCTGGAAAGAAAAAGCAAACTTGTTTCCATATTGTAGGATGTTGCTATTTTATTCCTTTACAATTTGAAAAACAAGATTTAGGTATCTTGTATGTTCACATGGCTGATGTACTTCAACATTCGCTGAATCATGACCTTAGCAACCTGATATGGACTCATAATACTGTTATTTTTCAGGGAGCCTTCATCTGGAGCTGCAATGCATTGGTTTCTGAGGTAAGGCATATTAACTGTCTGATGTGTTGCCATTTTGTTCTATAATGTCCCTATAATTTGATGTATGAATCTCTGTTGTGATGTATCGCTGTTTGTGTTCATGCCAATTCATTTGTTTTGTATAGATTAAAGCATCACAAAAGGAGTTTGAGGGGATGCTTCAGGAACACAGGTCTGTCCTACTTGAGATGAAACTTGTCATCTTATTTTCTGCTAATGGAAAATTTAATACACGAGAAGTTATATTCATGCTGTTTCATCTTGCCTATTACCTTGAGAACAGATGCAAAAACACACACATGCACATACATGTATATTTTAGGTCTAGTTTAATATTAACAATCTTTAATTTGTTTAATTTGCTTGTAATGGCTTATATATATGGTTTAGATTCAGCAAGTTTTACTCTTAACATTATATTGAGAAAAGAAGTTCTATGATTACTTGCTAAATGACTCAATGTTGTGTCATGCTGAACAATTTTGAATACAATAATTTATTGATTTTCCATTTTCTATAACATGAATGCTATGACTTCACTCTTTATTTTTGAAACATTTACAGAGGTAAAAGTGGGAGTATTTATTTTTTTTTATTTTTTTTAATTGCCAAATTTAGGAAGGGAAGGGGGAAAACTCACACACACGGGTACTATGGGGGTTTGAATCCTAGACCACTTGGGAGCACACCTAAGGCATGGGCCAATCCAACTAACACTCCATTGGGAGTAGTATTTAGTGCCATGATCTCGTCACCTATTGTGGTATTTACTGCAGTTACCTGTTATATTTACTAGCTTATGGAAATCTTGACATGTTTTACTGCCCATGTCAATGTTTGTGATTGTAATTTTTCTTGTTGCTTCCAACACCGTCATTTTGACAGGGTACAATGTACTTGTGAAAAAGCTTTGAATTTGGATGAAGACTGGCGAGCTCGACTTGAAAGGGATATAATCATGAAGCTTCAACATCTAAACTTGTGAATGCTCTAGTATTAAGGACGATGCCTATACTTGATAAAGACTCAATTTGACTGTAACTTGATTTGAGACATTTGATAAATGAAATTATCAAGTTCTTTGACCTATTTTTACTTTACCGGGGAACAAGAATGTTTGGCTAATAAGTTTTATCCTGTTCCATGCCTGGCAGGAGTGGGGAGGGAGATTTTTTTTTTTGGGTCAAATATAATATTGACTAAACTCAAACTGAAATATGGGTCATTTTTACTCCAAATATCAAAGGTTTTTTTTTTTTTTTTGTTTTTGTTTTTTTTTTGTAACTTGTTTGTACCGCATCTGACCTCTCCACTCACATCATGACACGTGGAAAGAGTATGAAGCTAGGGAACACTGCTGCTCACTGATAGACCAGTTAGGTATGGGTCAGTGTCCACGACTGATTCATCAACCAGCATAGCCGTCCCCCCCTCCCCTGGGGCAAGCACTCCCAGAAGCTCCTTGGACATACGATTGGTCCGCCATGCCGATTATGCGAGACAAACTCAAAACCACACCCCCCCTTCCCCCCAACTTTGATATTTTATGGAGACTCGTGTCGATCTTAGAAGGCACTCCCACGAGTCTCACATCGAAACTAAGTACTAAAAGCATACCAGGCACTCTTTAAAAATAGAGCCCCTTGCCCTAGACAAATGGTAAGATTTTCAACTTGATTCTCATGCTCTAGCATTTGTCAATAGCAAAGCTCTTTCTCAACTTACTTTGGCATCGGAAGGTCTTCGGATGGTACCACACCGGTACTCTAGACATCATCCGTTGTTTCTCTCCTTATCCCAGGTCTAGCATAGCATCCCAAGGAAGAACGTGCTCGCACCAAGGGCTCAATCGGTCCTTAGACCGTCCACGTCACCTGTAAGTTGCTTCTATTTCTATATGTTTAGTTTTAGAGCGAACATAACTAAACCCAATTGTTGATTAATATATTTACTTGGGACAATCATATCTCCCATTCACCTCTTTCTATATCTCTTTAACCCCTAAATCACATTAGAACTAGATATATTGTGTGTTTCCTACTTAATGAAACAACCAACATCTATGATGGTTTTGAGGAAGCAAATTAAGTTTTTTTTGGCATGTTTTAGTTTGGACTCGCATTGAAGAAAAGACTTAGAAAAATATAGTGTAAGCAATTTTTAGGCGACTTAAGTCTCATTTGGTGCTTGGGGTTGGGTTGGAGGTATGTTGAATGAAGAAATGAATAAATTTTGTCCAAGTTGAAGGTAAAAAGATGGATTACTTATGAAGAAAATTGATCTTACCTTATAATTTATTCCTTCTAATCTCCCCAACATAAAAAATCATTCGCGTCTATTCATTTCCTCCTTCAATATACCACAACGAAGAAAGTTATCTAATCTACAAAATGTAGAAAGTTATCTAATCTAATACAATTTTAGGCACCAAATGAGCCGTAAAGTATATAAGGCAGAGTGAAAGATAGCTTAGGGGTTGATGGTAAGGTATGGGTGTCCAATTTGGGTGTTCAAAGAAATTCATGAGTTTTTTAGATGTCTATAAAGTTTTTTTGTGTTAGTTTTATATTGGGATGTGACTTATTTAAAAATAAATAAAAACTTGATGAGATTTTTTTTCTTTCTATATAAGTGATATTGGGAGAGGGGGAGTCGAACTTAGGACCAAAGTTGCAAGATAAATACTCTTAAACACTTGAATTACAAGCCGGTTGCAAGTAAGATTCGTCTTTTAGAAAGCTAATAAACTCAAGGTTTTTAATTTTTCTTCAAAAATATTATTATTTTTAAATAAAAAAATAGGGTCAAGAAACTCAAGGTATTAGGTATTGTTGCAGGCACAACCTGGTTTGGGCCTCGTATACTTATATCAAATCCAGCTAAATGCACTTAGCTGGGCTTAAAAAGCCCAACTATGCTTAGGATATTACAAAACCAGTTTACCTTACCACTTACAAACATCCACATGAGAGAAGCATTATCATTTTTCAACACTTTACATTACGTATATATGTGTTGTTTTTCACTTGTTAGTTTACTATTGGGATGGTTGTGCTCCGGTTTGGATTGGTTTCAAAACATTAAAATAAATAAATAAATAAATAAATAAAAGGAAAACGACCATTAATAGTTCAACTTAGTTCGACTTGAGTTCAATTCTATCTTTACATATAGTCACTTAGCCCCATTTTACAATACAAAAATATATAATTTTCTTTAGTGTTTCTTTTTCTTTTTTTTTTATAGAATTTTCATTTACACACTTTCCAATTTTAATAGTCATTTTAAATGACATAATAATTTCATATTTGGAAACTTAACAAACCTATTGTTATGGATGAATGATATGGATGACAATTTTCCCCGCACTGCAGGTTAAGGTCTTTGCAGAGCTTCACCCATATTGAGTCGGGAATGAATGATAGAAATTGGGTATAGGAATGGGTTATAGGAAAATTTCGAGTAAAGTAGGGCGAAGATGATATTTTAATTCTCGATTCAAACACTCTTTAGAATGTATATAATTTATTTTTTATATGAATATATTGTTAAGTGGCTTCTAGATGTGTCATATGATTCCCACCAAATTTTACATTTAACATATTATATTATATATTAAATTAAATAATACATAGAGAATATAAGTCAAAAACAAAACTTTGGTTTTGTCAGTTGCCCTAGTCCGATATAGTTTCTAGCTTTTTTATTATTATTTATTTTATCTTTCAAATATTTTATAGTACTTTTGTAAGAGGGCAGGACGAGACCAGTTTTCCAATGAAAGTGGGGATGTGGAATCCCTAATTGAATGGTATGGGTATGGAGGTGGGAATTGGGAAAACAACTTAACGAGGATGGGAATGAGAAGGGCATACCCCGATTTGCCCAATTGTCATCTCTACACATCAAATATTTCGTACTTGTTATAATCTTGTGAAACCAAAATTATCAAGGTGACAATCATAACAATTTTAAGCACATGTATAGCCAATTAGATTGCATCCGGCATTCTAAATTATAAATCTCTAATAACATTCAACATTCCATCAAAGTAAGGAACTATAACAATCTAACTCTATTAAAGGTTATATCAGTGTGCATGATGTAGTTAGTATAAAAGTAGATGAGGATGATTAATAAGAAAATGTGAAGTGCTATATATATAAAGGTGTTCGATATAAGCCAATTCAAATTAATTAAGATTTGGTTTGTTTCGGTCCAAGATTAGACTTTTCTAAAGTTAAAATTGAACCAAACAAATAAAATTAGTTTTGTTTCGGCCGGTATAAACGGTTAATTAAGCTGTTTTTTGGTAACTCCTAGTTTAGCTTATAGTCCGTAAAAGTTTATACTGTTAGAATATAATATAACTAACTAGTACGTAGTTTTATGTTGTAATGGTTTTCAAGTATTGTCTCACCAATAAAAATTAATGAAGTTGATATGGAAAGAGCGAAAACACACAAGACAAGCTACTAGTAGTTCCTCACATCACATGATCATATCAAATGTTTGGCCCATTAATTTAAGAAATGAAACTACCACCACCGGTGCTGGGAGAATACATGAATGCGGTTTCGCTGTCAAAACAAGTATGCTTTGAATTTAATTTGCAATTGTGAAGTTTGTCGATACTACCGCACTGATATAAATCATACCAATAATATCTATAGCCTTGCATTGAATGGTGCCAGAAAATGTGTTGACCCTGCCCTGTCTTATTCATCACCACGGTGGCATGGTCCATATCCTCCTCCTCTACTGATCACTGCATGCAAAGCTCTACATTTGAAAAAGATCACCATTTCATGAGTTACATAAACTTTTTACTTTTTAGTTGGGCAAAGTATTATAATTAGGGTTTGGTTGCAGCAACTTACAAGTGTAGTAAAAATGATACGTTGAGACAAGGCATTAATAAGTTGGTAAAAATGGATGGTGACGTCAGTGACTGTAAATAAGACTCACGGGAATCCTGCCCGCTGCAGTGCTTGTGTTGTGCATGTGAGAAAGACAAACAAACAGAAAGAGGGTACTTAACGGAAGTTGGTTGATTGCATTGCAGGAGCAGGAGCTCTTTTTGTTATTATTATTTTTTAACTCAAACAAGCATTAAATGGTATGTCAGAAAGTCAACACAAGGTCAGGGTCTGGGTTTGGTCAGACGGTCAAATACTTGACTCTTCTTCAATTAAGGGGGATGATGGATGGTTGGTTGAATGGAAGGAAGGATAAATCAAACGGTGCCAGTGGACCCTCCCATGTTTTTTTGATTGTGATCAGAAACCTGTCAGGTCACCTTCCTATTCCTTCCCCTCCTGTAGTCTTTTGTTTTTGTCATTTCATCTCTCATCATCTATTAACAACTAATATATAACTGGTTCTTTTCCTTGTTTTGTTTTCTTTTGGTTTTTGTGTAGCTTGCCACATACTGCTCACCGCACAAAATTAATGCAGTCCCAATTGCAGCGGTGCATGAAGTTAATAGTCGGCAGATTAGTATCTTATAGAGTAGAGAGAGAGAGAGCTACAATACAATGCTCTCAACTCAACAACTCTTCTTCTTCTCCTTTTCATATGACAATGAAGTTTTTGTACGAGCATGCACTATGATTTTATAACTGACAAGTCTTTTTGTGTTCCATTAATCCTGTTGAGGGTCCCCTGATCCCTGCTCTCTGCTGTGACCATGCATACATATATATGATGATACACACATATATATATATATATTTATATTTAAAGCGTGTGGACTAATGAGGTGTTAGTTGGATTGGCTCAGGTCTTTGGTGTACTCCCATCTCAAATTATCTTGTGTTCATGTCCCATGGTACCGCCTCCCCCTTCCTAACTTTGGTCAAAAGAAAAAAGAAAAAAAGGGTGTGGTCTGGTCTTGTTGGTGGGGTTTGGGTTAATTAGCTCGATCGGTTGGATTGCGATGGTCACATAACAGCTGTGCATGGTCTTTGGTCTTGGTCTTGGTCTTATATATATAGACTAGTCATGGGTTGGGAAGACGACTACTACCAATTCACATATTAAGTGCCATTATGATATTACCAAACTTCACCGATGGATATATCCCTGCCTTTAGCATGGCACACTTGATTCCATTATATGTATCATCT